AGTTACAAATAAATATGTTATCCCAATTATTGTGACCCACAAGAATTATCACAGATATGCAACAATATTATCCATTTATTTATCAATGGTTTTCTGTGTGATTATGTAGGGATGGTGATAAGTGAATGATTTAATAGAAAAAAGTTCAAAGAAGCAGTCATGTCCTATTTTGAAGTATTCTTCTAAGCATGTGCCTGTAATGACCACGGAAAAGATGAAATTACTCATTCAGGACAGCTGGAATTCAGGTCAAATTCTTGAACACTGATAATCTCAATAATGAAGCAAGTATGTTGATCACTTGGACAGAATGTTCATAAAATAACCTACAACAAATAAACATTAGACAAAGTAGTCAAACAATGAAATCTGCACTGATATGTTGTGCAACAACACAATTCAAGCAACGACTGGAAGCTGTGAACTGAAGTACAAGAGCACTGTCTTCACTCATTTTATGTTGCCATACTTGATTTGTTGGATTCCATCCTCACTATCTTCTGATAAATGGTGCATAAAATCAATATCACAGTCATATGCAGTAAAGTGTACTTCAGAAATAGTACCAAATCCAGCTCTTCATTATTGCTAGTACCAAGAAACTTGAATACTACATCACAGAAAACCCTCAAAATTTAAGCAGAACTGGTTATGAATGTCACTGCCAGTACAGAGAGGGTTGTAGCAGTGGCAGACTGTGTGAACAGATAATTTCTAGAACTCCCAACATGGCAAAAATATTAAAAGCTGTTCACGAAACATGCTTTGCGAGTACTTTGAAACTTTGAAACTGAGTAGAAAAAATGTTCCAAAAGGTGTGAAAGGAACCAAAAAGGGTGAACTTATGGCATAACATTCAGGATCTCTAACAGTAATAAAATTGCATCTCTCTCTCTCTCTCTTTCACAAGCACATGTGCGCGCACACACACAAACACACACAATGTGACCATGACATCAACCTACCACACAAACCACAAAAAGTGATAAGCAGTAGAAATGTGTAAAAAGCCCGTCTGTGTGTTTGATTCCAACAGACATTTGTGCAGGTATGATTTGAATCACATCCTGATGACTTAATCATGAGTACTAAATCATATGTTTACATACAGACAGAACACAAGAAATCAAACGGGTCAACTACAATTTAGAGTGCAAGCTGTAGAAGCTCTCCTTTTTGTTCAGTACCAGAATACAAGCAAACATGGTATCAGGCTGATACTCGCCAAAAAGTGTTAAATCTCATTTAAATCCAGTTCATAAAGAAGATGCCGTTGACAAGATATCAACACCACAAGGATGTGATGTTCATACAAAACAGGAAAAAAATAGCATATCAGAAGTGGGGTGCTGTACTGTTCTGAAAGCAACACTAAACAGAATAATTAGGTGATGAGCACTAAAACACAAATTTCCTTCGATCTAGAAGAATCCACTTTTAAGGTAAACAAGCTGAATTTCATGTAGATTTATCAAATATGGCTTCCTAAACAATCTCATAAATTTTTAAAAAGATACTGATTTCTTTTTCAGCTGTACATATTCCATGTCCAGTGTAATGGGGCAGCCTCTATTTTTAGTAGGAGGGGCATTATAATTACGTACTCACAGATATCTCTCCCTGTTATAAGACTCTGATTAACTAAGGTCTTTATTATTACCAGGAATAATAAGGTTGACGAGGAGAGTGCTTGAATAATGAAATACTTCAGTGAAGCCTCAGTAGTGAAAATATTTTCTTGTGATGATATAAGTGGGATAACTGGTATGAGATTAATTTCCAATCCTATCCAGGCACCAAGCACCCATGTCCAGAAATGGAGGCATTTAATGTCTCATCACAAAAGCATTAGCTATTATTTTGTCTGAACACAATACATTCTGCATCAGGCTACAACAGCACCACATTTCACATAAAAATTTTCTGAGGCATATTTATAATTATAATTTTAGTGCCACATTTTCATTATTACACTACAACACTAAGCACTTACACACACTTGAATGAAGTAACATGACACATCAGGGATTTTCACAATATCTGCCCATGTGACTCATTACACTGACACAACAGGATTGGCAAACCACTGAGAAAATCATCTGCCATGTATGTTCTTACGACAAATCTGTCCATGACATACAGTTGTTCCCTGGATACTATCCATTCTCTGTAGTCAAAATTATATCTGTGTTTCATAAGCTGTCTGAATCTCTAGCTTCATGCTGCAGACAGAATCTCTTCTTCAGCCAATGAACAATGTCAAAGGAATAACCTTACATTACAATATCAAACCAGTGTCACAATATTTAGAACAATAAATCTGTCCATTCCGACAAAAATTAATTCCGAACAATGAAACCAACCATGGAAATAAAAAATAAACTTAATTTATAAAATAAAGATGGCTTTATATTTCAATGAACTATTCATGACTCACTCTTTATCTTTCAAGCACAACTGAGTAAGTGTACAAATAAGGTAAAGCTATCCCTAGACCATGGAGGCCCATAGGGTTGTGGGATGCCGAGGATCCTACATTTTCTAGACAATCGGCTTACAGATGGCGGTGAGGTTGTCAGACTTACACGCTGGCCAACCTTTACCCCCCCCCCCAGGAAGATTCCTGGTACTCATTTCTGCTAGAGGCTGAGTCAACCCCAGGGCCATAATGCAGCTGGAAGGATTACGTCAACTGAAAAAATCCACCTCATCGGGATTCGAACTTATGACCTTCCGGCTTGTAGCATAGTGTCACAACCCTTTTTTTTTTTTTGCCTTTTATATTTCAACGAAATATTCATGACTCACTCCTTTATCTTTCAAGCACAACTGAATAAGGGTACAAACACAGTATAAAAACTGCGCAGACAGTGGACATTCAAATCACCTATTAACAGTCTGAAGAAGACCATAAAGCACAGAGCTAAGTGTCAGCTCTACTGCAGCAACACAACGGAGCAGAGTGCTGCTGTCAGCTCTTTTCATAAACATAAATTCTGCCTCCATCTGCCACAAAATATGTGTAGTAGTAGTAGCTGAAACAGATGTGATTTCTCACACAGATAATTTTATAAAATACTGCATATTATAACTATTTACTTTAAATTTTATTTTAACTGACAGCATGCATAGTCATGACCCAATGTTCAAAAATCACTGTACATGTGATTACAGCTTCTCAGTTATCTGGAAGCAATTCCGGTCTGTGACTGCACATTACTAGCTCACGAAGCAGAGCCAGCATGCAAGGTCAATATTTCAATTGCAAGTCTCTAATAAGATACGCTTGGTTGGATAATATGATAATGAAGAGAGGAATGACAAACAAGAAGAAAAAAAAAAGATCCCTCTTTACACAAATAGCTCTAACATATGAAGGCAATGCTAATCATTCTTTGGGTGCAATAAATCCAACACATGGTTTACGCTGGCAGTTAATATTAGAAGTACAAACAAAATTTTGGTTAGAAAACCTGAAGGGAAGACAGCACTTGCAATATCTATGTGTAGATGGAAGGATGATATTGTGATGAGTATGACCATTGCTAGGCAATAGTTCGGTAAGCACGTTCCTGCTGCAATGAACAAACACAGAGAAACAGATTTACAGAGGAACTGTAAGACATGGTGACTTATATTAAGTTCACCCCAAATTTATAAAAGAGATAGCTCAGTTCATTTGAGAGAATGAGCAGGGAATTTCTGTTCATCATTCGTCACAGTGGAAGAGAAGACACTTGTAGTCCAGTAGGAAATGGAGCATTTCTTAAGCAGTCATTGATTGTGAGCTGTTACAATTGGTTGTAATTGTAAAAGAAATGCCAATAAATCCAATCGCTGAATCCAGAACCTGTTATTATTTCTCATGCAAACCCTGGACATGTGAAAATATTATAATGGGCCTTAAAGGAATATGTTGTGGTAATGTGAACTGAATTCACTGACTTGGTATTGGGTCCTGTGGGGCTTTTTGCAAATATGATTAACCTTCAGGTTACATTAAAGGAGAGAAATACTGTAAATGGGTGGGCGATTATTAGTTTCTTGACGCTTCTCCTTCAAGGAATTAGTCAATTATACTAGGTAAACACAATACATATGAGCATTTGAATAGAATGAATTCTGAAAATCTTATGAAATAAATTCTAACAGCCAAGGGGAAAGAAACACGCTGGTGGACCAAGACAAAACTGAGCTGAAGTTCAAAACAGGCTTTTTCTGCCTAACTCATGAACATATACAATGATAACACAAGGACTACAAAAGGACATTTAAGCTGAACTAAACTCAAAATTCAGAAGAGGCAATGGGAGAACATGCTGAAGAGTTCGATCTTCCGGGATATAACACCGTGTGGCCTGGTGAAAGTTAACTGATGTTTCAGAGGAACACATTATCTTCATTATCAATGAGCAAGCCAAGAGCACAGCATAAAGCATGCAGAACTCTGCTCTACTTGCTGTCTCTTTCTAGCTGGTCTTCTGCTTGGCTTATGCTTTAACCCTGAAGATGGAAGTGAAATATTCTTCTGAAATTTCAGTTGACATTCAACAGACTACATGGCATTATATCCCAAAAGGCAGAACTGTTCACAGCCACCACTGTAGGAACTACAAATCCAACATAAGAAAGCATATGGTCAATGAAAATCTTATTGATTACCTCCTTCCAAGCCTTACTGCGAGATGAATGAAGCAGATGAATGGCACTCTGAAAGGAAGGGGAGCAGTTTTTCCACACGAACAAAATAAAGAATAAGGAGAAATAAAGGACCATCAGACACGGAGACATAAAGGTCTGAGAATAAAATGTTGAATCACATTTGAATAAGGAAATACTTGCCAGTTCCCACAACAACTATAATTATCATAATTCAATTCTCACACAATGACAGGAAGTCAAGGCATGTGTATACTATATAGAATAACCTTTTGGTGATGAGGAGCTTAATTACATTGGGGGTCATGAGAACATGCAAGCTAGCTAGTACAGGAACTTACGACAGTCTGCTTCTTGAAGTGGGGGACTCCACCATCAAACACAAACACTGGTTTAATCTTGTAGAAGAGAAGCTTGCAAATACGGTGGAAGAGCCCGAGGAGGTGAGCATTAGCCAAGGGGTTCCCGTGCAAGTCTTGGAAGCCCTTCACCACTTGGTGCAGCCAAATAGACACATCTACAGTTCTGTTAAGGTCAGTACTTGTTCATAAATTATGCAAAGGAAACCAACCAGCTCAACTTCATACACGTTTCTTGTACTTAGTAAGGTATCCCACAAAAAAGAAAACAGTATGTAGTATATGAAATGTATTAATTTAGTAAAAGAAAATTACACTGGCAATATACAGATAATCCATAATGTCATAAATCTGCAACCTTCAAATCCTTTAAATTGGTCTTTTTTTTATGACAGGATTTGGGTAATAGGAGCTATCAGAAGATATTTTGCAAGACTTGTAACATGATAGTATAACAACAGAGTCAATTAGACAAATTAACAGATCAGTACAGATAAAGAACAGAAATCTTGAACAAAATTACAGTTATTCTAAAATAAGGGAACATTAATTTACAGTAACTTATGCTGTAATGCCTTCTCACAATAGAGAACTAAGTAAATTTTGCCTCTAAGACTGAGAACAAAATATTATTAAAATGCCTGAACAAAATATTGGTTTCAATTAGTACCTAAAACTTCAGGAAAGAGCACAGATGGTGGTTCATCTCCTCCTAATCCCATCTGTCAAACCGACAAAATGTCAAGTCTTACCCAAACAGCACTTTTCTCATAACCTCACATACTACACCATAACATGTTGCTTCTTTACCTTTGCTTTTGTAAACATACAGAAACATGTCACTGTGCTGTGATAAAACTGTACTTTTGCCCCACTACAAGTTCTCTGCTTTCACACAGACACAACAGTTTGCCAAAGTTCTACTATGAACACAGATTGTGAGTTCACTACTTTCTTCAACAATCTCAAACAAAACAAAACCCATGGCTTTAGTCCGCAAGTGAACTATACTTACTGAGCGACTGCCGCTTGTCAGCAAAGTTAGTGCCAACTGTAGCAGATAGAGGGTGTCACATGGTCAGCGCAAAGAATCCCCACGGCTGTTAATTTCGGTTTCCTAGACCGAAGCAGCTACTTTGCCATTAAAGTAGCTCCTCAGTTATCCTCATGAAGCTGAGTGAACCCCATTCCAGACCCACTACTTCTCAGACAATCTGGTAGTGCTGGGAATCAAACCCAGGACCTCTGGATCTGTAGCCAGGAGCTCTGACCACTAGACCACAGAGGTGCTCTCCTTCAACAATATCACTTGAGTAAAATTTAACCAGTCACTTGGGATATTAACTCTTAATGAACTAACGAACAGAGTGAAGTACATTTTTAACTTCATACTAAAAGTGTCATTATTGCAGGCAATGTTCTAAAATGAAATACTTCTATCAGTACAGCTAACATGTTTATGTCTCTTAAGAACAAATATTGTAGGCCAGCTTCATAACCTACATGAAACATCTATCATATTTCAAATTTCCTACAACTAATATTACTTAGGACCTAATTCAGAAAATTCTAAAACAAATGCAAACATTAAAGATATGATAACAGTACATTTCACTTTTACACCCAAATGGGCTGTTCTATATTCCAGCAAAATCAGTAGAATGCTTGGCAATAAAACAAACACAGAAACAAAATGATGCACAATATAGAAAGTGCAACTGTGCAATCTGATCACATATTATTTGGCACTATTAAAATCCACCATGAACCAAAAAACAATTAATAGCATCATACCTTGCATTCGTATTCTCAACTAATTTAGTAAAGGATACCAACTGCTAGAACCTTGTTTTCCAAAGTTTCCAGGGGGACTGGTTTCCCTGATGGCTCAAGGAGCTTCCATAAACCGTTTACACCCATCCCCCTTGTGCTACATACATGAGCTAATCTATAGAAATCACCTACAAAAGGCAACAAACAAATATCAAGAATCAAACACTAAACAGATCTTGCAATTAATCTGACACGAAACCTAACACAACTAGCTGACATGGCAAAACGTCGGGGTCATTCATATGAAAGCATAAAGTGGGGGAGGTACACTGCAGCTTGGGAACAAGGACTTGGCCTTGTACTTGTAGGAGCTAAGAGGCATGTATTTTCCCATGGGAAACAAAACTAAAGCGATTTACGCGAGGGGAAGTGCGGAATGGGGGAGGTAGGCTGACATACCACACATCAGAAACCTAACTCATGGCCATCACGGCTATAGGCAAACCATCTACCTTCCACATAAGAAAGTAAAAACGGCACACTCCTTACTTTTCCACTCACCTTCAACGAAACCTTTGTATATGAAGAGGCAGAACAAGAAGCACGCCAGTTTCGTCTACTTGAACAAAGAACAGATTTTAAATTCAAATTGACGTGCATGTTAGACACTTTTTGTTATATAACTGACTCCATTCTGTAGGCTATTTCCTGTAAAAACAAAGTACTGCTTTTTAACAATTACAACGAAGATGATAATGGAAATGCCTTCAGTTACGAAAATGCTTCATCATTACATTCTACAGCACCTCGTCCGTTTTCATATTGCACCTTGCATATATTCACGGTCCATTTCGATACAAGGTTTTCGTTTTACACATTAAGATCCTACACGACACTCTGCAGTATCCCGGATACTACGTATCTCTCTACAATTCTCACGACCTCTCAAGACGTTCATTCCCCAATATTCTTCCTCGACTCTCATGGGCTACACACCTCCTTCGAACTTCCCTTTTTAGTAACGGGAACCCCACTGGAGTTCGCAATGTGAACTGTTAGTGTTTTTGGTTATTTTTGTTCTTAACTATGGGTTGGCAAGATAAAGTTGTGGTCAATTCTTGTACTAACTGCTCCTAAAATACAAACGTTGACTGGGGGAAAAGCATTCAGAGTTTCAGAGGAGGCATTTGAAATAAGCTACAATATTTCGCTACATAGTACATACGAATACTGCACTTGAGTTTATTCATATGCAAGAACAATAGATATATGAATATATACTCCATATTAGTAAAATGTATATTTTGCGAACATACTCGTGGAAAGTCTGTACATCCTCTGTAACTAGTCACGCATCACTCGGTACTACGAGAAACTTATTTTACCCGTTTCCCTTTGCTTTAAATTGCCAGATATACCGGGAAATCCTGTCTATATTTGTTCTGAATTCACTTCCGCTTAAGACTATCTTATACGAGCACCATTTAAAGTTGATGTAAGTACTACAAGCAACAGTCAGATACATATCTAGGGAAAGTAATTTTCTGCATGTTGGCAGTCGACGACTTGCGTGGGAAAGGGGCCGTGGGAAATTCTCATCACTAGCAGGTGTTTGTCAAATGATGTTTGTGAAGTAAGCTAGAATGGTTTGCCAGTGCTCTAAATCAATGATTTTGTACAGTGTGTGAACTGGAAATGGCAAGTCCGTGCAGTAAATATTGTTATTGCAGAGAGTTAAATCGATTGTACTAAAGTCGAAAAAACGGATTTGTGGCCTCTGAAAGGTTAGGTAAGTGGGATTTAAATTCGGGTAAGGTTGGTCAAATAATATAAGGGTTATAAGCCTTTTTTGGTCACAGCATTGAAACGTCTTAATAATGCTACAATTGTAATTAAGTATAGGCGCCAGTGGTGACGATAATTGTCATTCAGAAACGTTTGCTTATATTTCAATGTTCCATCGTATTTTCAGTTAACCATTTAAATATATATGACGTTTAGTTACTATTAGGAAAAGCTTTGTAAAGTCAAGGGAATATACTAATGTGCGGTGTTACCCCGAATTCAAAGCTTACTTGTAATATAGTTCACACAGTAAACAGAAGTTTTTATTGTATGTTATATTATGTCATTTACTGTTGTGATGTGAGGAATGTGGCATCAGGAAAGTTGGTTTACAGAAGCAAGAAATCGTTTGTTTCATTTAACGACGCTGTCAGTAGCTGAGACTATACAGCATCGCGTGATAGGATGATTAATAAATTAAATGAAAAGAATATGGAAGAAGTGTCTTTGGGCTATTCCAAGGTACTATCCCAGCATTTACACTGAGACTGCGGAAAAACACAAAAAGACCTGTCAGGATAGCTAGTGTCACAGCCGAGATTCGAACTGAGCACCTCCCAAGTACAAGTCAGAAGAAGTATTATTACTTTAGCCAAATTGTTCGGTGAAGAAAACATGACTGTAACTTAATTGGCAGGATCATTGACATATTCATTGCTATTTTTATCATTTTTAAAATTAAAATCATATTAGTAAAAGCTGTATCTAAAACCTTGTAAGAAAATTCGATATTAAAAAATGCAAGTTTTTTATGGGGGTGACCAAACATAGCTCTCAAGTGGTTAGTACTCCTGCTTTATACTCTTAAAGGCCTGGAATGCAAATCTTGGACCACAGACTGAGGGTTTTTAAGGGTGGGGGTAGCATTCTTCAGTTCCTCCAGACAGATGCGGGCATAGTACTTTGAATTAGACCATGACTGCTGCTCTCTGCATCCTCTCCAGTTCACTAACTATGCTGCTATTTGATGCTATATAATCTGAGCTGCAGAAAGTATCATTAGATAAACCATAAATCAATGTATTTGGGTGAAACTGTAATATAATTCTTTTTAAGTCTGAATAATTAGTAAGACTGAAAGAGTATAAAGCTCCTTAGAATGAATAATTAGTAAGATAAACAAATATAAAGCTTAAAAATGAATAGCTCATCATAGTAGGCGAGCGGTCTAAGGCATGCAGTCATCACTTGCTTGGAAGCCGGGATTGTGGGTTCAAATCCCACCCAAGGCATGGATGTTTAGGGTTTGTGTGTGTGTGCATTTTTCTGTGTTTGTGTACAGGTAGAGGCCTTGCGACGAGCTGATCACCCGCCCAAGGAGTCCTGCTGAGTGTCTTAAGATTTAGTAAACCGAAGTGAAACGGAGAGGTTCATGGAGATAGGCCAAGGCCCAAATTGGGGCTGTAGTGCCAAAGAAAAAAAAATAATTAGTAGGATTGACACAAGTATAAAACTTCTTAAGAAAAGTAGATTTTTAGTGTTCTGCACTGGGTATTTTCTTTACAATAAGGTGACCAGTTGAATTAGTTTAGTTAAACAGGAGAATGTTGAGGCTAATAATCTTCAGTAACATCCAGAGTCATAAATGTAGCATATGTAAGTCCCCATTTTAAAGCTTTTGTTATGTGATCTGTTACTTACTGTTGTCATGTCAGATTCCTTTTGCACTGTAAACCAGTTTTTGTCACCTAGCATCCAGACCAAAGACAGGACTGATGAAAAATTCCTTTTTTTTTTATGTATACAAGATTGAATCCCCATATGTACAGAAACATATACATACATACATTAAAAAGACGTGTATGTAAAATCTTCACAAAAGCAGGGAGCTTTTTCCATGATTTTGTATTGTTAATCAGAATCTTAATATCTTCATTCAAGATGTTGCTCCATTGGAAATTAAGCAAATTGAACCTTCTGTATTGGGAATATCAAAAGGTTAATTCACTGAAGTAGCTTTTCCATGAATTTCTGTGAAAGTTTATTTTTGTTTGTTTATTCACTTTGTATCAGTTGTTACAGGTGTAAAATAATTTGAAGGAGTGTAAGAGTTAATTCCTTCCTTATATTAACAAAACAAATGTCATATTTTAATCCTGTTTCTATGTATTGCATTAATATCTCGGACTTGCTGATTATGGTAACATGATCTAATCAAATACTTCTGCTTTCTGAATGTTGTAGTTTTTCAAAATATAGTTAATTAGTTAGTTAGTTATTAGAGAGGGTGGGTTTCCCCATGCACTGAGACCTATATTGGTCCATTGTGCTTCCCTCTATGATTTCTACCAGTCTCTATATCCTACCGGTACTAGTGCTTACCATCAGTCCCGCCCAGCCAGCGAGACTGGCTCTACTAGCTGAGAGGTATTTATAATGCTTCCCCCATCTACCAGAGGTATTAGAGACTGCTATTGGGCGGGAAACGTCCGTTAATTTGGCTCAGTGACCTCCTTTGGAGATATGAGGTTGTTTTACGTGCCGTAAAGCTACGACACGGGACCCACGGCTTAAAGTCCCTCCCGGAGGACTTGTTCGCTGAATTTTTCCGCCCTTAAAAATTCGACGACCTCCGCCGGGTATTTGAACCCGCGTACTACGAGTCATGAGGTGGGAACGTTACCTCTAGACTACGGAGGCCGCTAATGTAGTTAATTATGTTTGTTACTAATGGCAAATGTGCATTTAAATTAAAATAGTTTAGACACATTGGCCTGAGTTTTTCAGTTTAATGCCCATATTCCATCCATTCCTTAAGTAAATAAGTAAACTACAACATTTATGACAAGACTGTTAAAGTGGAACTCAGTTTAGATTCTAAAGTGATATTATTTTTCTCATTTTCTGCACCCTCGTCTGCTCATGTGCATTTTATGAAACAACATAAAGACTGGACACTGAATCTGAAGAGATTTTGAAACTGCAAAAACACGTAAAATTTATTTTTCTTCTGTCATATAATTCTTTTCTTTAAGATTAGTATAAATCCTGCAGTAGAGAACAGAGGTAAATCTCTAGAGCCTCTTTTCCTTTACCTTCACACTCTTCTTTTATTCTGTTTCCATTATTTAACTTACAGCACATAATTAAGCCATAACCAATGCTGCCATTAATTTCACATTTACATAGTGGTTACAATTGCGTCTTATGAACTGCAGTGTATTTATTATTATTCTTTGTTTTATGATGTATGCAGTCAAGTCTATTTTAAGAAGAAAGCAGTCTTCTGGGATTTGGCACCGTGTATATGTGGTGTTAACCGATGTTTCGGAGGAACGTATCGCCCCCATCTTCAGGGTTGAAGAAAAAGTATAAGTAAATCTGCAAGCGACAACACCGTAGGACACGGTAAAGCAGTCTGCTTTACCGTGTCCTACGGTGTTGTCGCTTGCAGATTTACTTATACTTTTTCTTCAACCCTGAAGATGGGGGCGATACGTTCCTCCGAAACATCGGTTAACACCACATATACACGGTGCCAAATCCCAGAAGACTGCTTTCTTCATAGTCACCGCCGTGAAAGCCTCAAATCTTACAAGTCTATTTTAATTTCACATTCTCATTTCATCTTTTCAAATGTCTTCCACAGTCTTGGCATCCTTTTGGTTTCTACTATACAGTCTCTTGCCCTACTCTTTCATCATTCTGTCCAGATGGCTTACCCAGTTTTGTCTGTACTAATGTACTTCATTTTGTAGTGACTGCATTGTCAGGTCTTTCTAAAGATTTTCATCATAATATGGTATAGCCTAGCACAGCCTTTAACTGATCTTAAGTATCCCATCTGTACTTACTGTATTCACTGTATGTCTTGCTCTAATTGTTCAAGATTTACTCCAATATACTAAAGTAGGTAGTGCTGATACTTAATAAATTTCAACTGTTTTTGGTATGTTTAGTTCGTAAAATGCTTTAAAATTTTGCAAGAAATTAGGCTGCTATAAGCACACATTTCGATCTACAAGTATACTGCTCTAAGAGACAGACTGTGTTTTAACTTTAAGTTCATAGTAAGTTCTGTCTCAACTCTTCAGGTTTAGCATAGTGTCAGAATCATCACATAACATGAGTCCATAATATGAGTGAAATCTGAACCAGTTTCTGCATCCCTAAAGTAACCTAATTCATGTAGGATTTGAGGTTTTCATAGTGGTGACTATGAAGAATGCTGTCTTCTGGAATGTGGCCTGTGTAGATCTTGTGTGAACCAACGTTTCGGAGGAACCTATCACCTCCATCTTCAGGGTAGAAAAATCTGCAAGCAAGGAACCAGTACCAGAGGTGGCTAGCAGACTGAGCCACCAGTTGAAAACACCCAGCTATATAAGAACAGAGGGAAGGAGGGTGGGCCACATGTGGCTCACGGATTTTTCTACCCTGAAGATGGAGGCGATACGTTCCTCCGAAACGTCGGTTCCCCAAGATCTACATGGCGCCACATCCCAGAAGATGGAATTTTTCAACCTAATTCATAGTTCTTAATTGTACTGTTACCTGTAGAGCAATATCCGCAACAAAACTCACATCCACGCAGTATAACCACATGAGAATTAATATCAGCAATTAACCACAGTGAAAGCCTAAAATCATGAATGATTTTAATTCATATTATATAAATACAATAGATATATTTTCTTGTGTCAGCAATAATGTGCCTTACAATATGTGTATAATAGGCTTGCAGTTTAGTTAACAGAGAAGCAGGTCAGTCTGCTAAAAGGACAGTTTTCTTATCCAGTGTTATTTCATGTGCATTCTTTCATTTCAGATATTAAATGGCGAAACCAGTTACCTTCATCATATTTTAATAGCTTCAAGGGAGACGTGAAGAATACTTCAGGTCCATGCTGAGTGCCTTTCCAAACTGTGCTGATGGAATGTTGCGGTATTATGAGTGAATCTGTGCTATAGCCCAGCTCCACAATGCCACACCAGTTTGGGTTACCAGCCATGGCGCATAGCATGCAGTCACCACCATCCCCGCCAAATTTGTTTGAGAGGTTCAGCTCTATGTTGTACAGGCCAGAGGATCAACGGCTCACCCGTGAAGCCATGGAACGATATCTACGTGAAAGAAGTGACATGGTTATTGTAATTTTGCATGCCAAAGTAGCTCAGAAATCATATGGTAATGAGAAGAGATTTTTCTGTCCTCCTCCATGCATTTATCTGTTCGGAGAGGGATGGCGACTGCGTCAGGAACAGATGTTACGAGAGGGGGAAACTGAACAAGCAGCACAGCTTTGTGCGTTCATTGGAATTGGAAACTCGGATCAAGACATGCAGCAGCTAGATCTGAACAATGGCAAGCAGTATTGTGCTGCAAAAACTTTGTATATTTCTGACTCAGATAAGCGTAAACACTTTATGTTGTCTGTCAAGATGTTTTATGGGAATGGGCATGACATTGGGGTGTTTCATAGCAAGCGGATCAAGGTTATCTCCAAACCTTCAAAGAAAAAACAGTCTCTTAAAAATGCTGATTTATGCATTGCTAGTGGCACTAAAGTTGCACTTTTCAACAGGCTAAGGTCTCAGACAGTGAGTACTCGTTATCTTCATGTTGAGAATGGTAACTTCCATGCTAGTTCTACACAGTGGGGAGCATTTACAATCCATTTACTGGATGACAATGAATCAGAGTCGGAGGAATTTGCAGTGAGAGATGGTTATGTTCATTATGGCAGTACTGTGAAGTTGGTGTGCAGTGTTACTGGCATGGCACTTCCAAGACTCATTATTCGGAAAGTTGATAAACAGATGGCTCTTCTGGAGGCAGATGATCCTGTTTCACAGCTCCACAAATGTGCTTTTTATATGAAAGACACAGAGAGAATGTATCTGTGTCTTTCTCAGGAACGCATTATCCAGTTCCAGGCCACGCCCTGTCCCAAAGAGCCAAATAAGGAAATGATAAATGATGGAGCTTGTTGGACCATCATCAGTACAGACAAAGCTGAGTATCAATTTTTTGAAGGGATGGGTCCTGTTCGGTCCCCAGTAACACCTGTTCCAGTTGTACACAGCTTGCATCTTAATGGTGGTGGCGATGTAGCTATGCTGGAACTCACAGGGGAGAACTTCACACCAAACTTGCAGGTGTGGTTTGGGGACGTGGAAGCTGAAACAATGTACCGCTGTCAAGAGAGCATGTTATGTGTTGTCCCTGAAATTTCTTCTTTTCGTGGTGAGTGGCTGTGGGTGCGGCAACCCACTCAGGTGCCAGTGTCCTTAGTGAGAAATGATGGAATCATCTATGCTACTGGCCTAACCTTCACATATACACCAGAACCTGGACCACGTCCACACTGTCCTCCAGCAGATGATATTATGCGAAGTGGTGGGCAGGTTGCACGGATGCCAGCCATGTCTGATGTGCCCTGGAGTCAACACCAGCCTCCTCAGGGAGGAATATGAAGTGTCTCGTCACTTCCATTATCATCACATTAAGAAACAGAAGCTAAATTTATAGTGCAGAATTTATTCAGTTATTATATTCAGAGTTAAAAATACACTGAAACTACAACCACATTGTGTGAAGGTTTTATCTTAAGACATGTCATTTAAAGTAAATCATGAAAGGAACCTGCTTATGCTGATGGTTCTTTGAAAATAAAATAACAATTTTAAAACTGTCACTTTCTGTGACTTAGACATGCTCATTAATTACAAACGAATACTGAGTACATAGTACATTTAACAGTGAATGTTTCCAGCTGTTTGTGCTCTTTCTTTAATAAATATAATATATAACCAATACATATTTATCATACATTGGGAACTACAATATACTCCTTGTTTATGACTATATAATAGACATATGAAAAATAGTTGCCTAGTAGAACAGAATTTCCTGAGGAGCTCAATAATATAACTTACTAATTTTTATGGCAGCCATTCACTCATATATGAATCTCCACTGATCACTTTATCATGGACATTATTAATTTTATATATGCTGTCTACTTTGAAATAATTTGTCATCCTAGCTGTTATTTGATAATTGCTGGTCTGTATGTGATTAAAATAGTATTTATGTGAAACATCTTGAGGCCAAGTTAGTAGGGCCTGTGCAATATTGCTGGATTAATTTGGCAGCAAACTGCGACGGACCAGTCCCATTCATACATATGCACTGAAGCCTTCAGCATGTTTAAGATATACCCCATGATGACAAACTGAAAGGAGTGTGATATTAAATTTTTATCTCCATATTTGTTCAAGTAAGAAATTTCAGTCTTTACCATTACAGTTTCAAGAAATATGTCCTATACTATAGTATTAATGTGAAGTCCTATTATACAAGTCCGTAAATGTTTGTAGCACAGAGCTCTCAAAACAGACACTTTGTGGTCTAGGACTTAGCATTTTAAATAAAACTAAGTCATAAATATGTAATAATAGAATGTAACCTGAAATGTAAACCTTGCATTTGAGGTTTTCATGGTGGTGATAATTCATGTCATCTTCTGGGTTTTGATGCCATCTAAACTTGTAGTGGGTACCATCATTTTGAAGGGATCTGCTGTCTACATCTTCAGGGCTTTGCCTCCTGAAGGTGTAGGTAGAGGATTCCTGCAATATTCTGGTAATCATCTACAGGACTGTAAGGTGTCACCCAGAAGAACACAATATAAAAAATGTGAACATGTCCCTTCACATTATAAATAAGAATAATAAGAAATATCCAGTGTCTCTTATAATTAATAATCCTTTATGAGGGATATATAAAGCACAGTATTAAGTGTAACAACAAAATCTTCCCTTTGGAATATAACATACAGCTTGTGTTATCAGTTTCATTTATATGTTTGTGTCTGCAATTTTTCTAACTTTTGATAAAATGAAACCTTGAAAAATATAGTTTGAAATAGTAATCTGAAAAGCACATTTTAAACTTGTTACTATATTGTCATGTGACTCGTTCCTAAATTGCAGTAGCCTTTTACATACTTGATATGAGATATATGCATAAGGGCACCGGCCCTTTTGGTTTGAATTTATCTGGTGTTTGAGAGCCCTGTGAAAGAAGTCTTGTCATCTGTCAACAGTTAATACTGTCTGTTGCTTTTCTACAAAATGAAATGTACTAAAGATGAATATATGTAAATAGAAGTCAACATGGAGAGGGTTAAATGCCATAACTTCATATTTGCAGTAATAAATAATGTATGTTACTTTAAAGAGTATTTTTGCTAACATGTGGTTTAGTATGGGTGTGAAACAGTGTATCTAACATTAAAGGAAGAACATAGACTGAAGATATTTGAGAATAGGATGCTGAGAATATCTGGGTCATGGAGGGATGAAATGATATGATGCATAATGAGGTTTGTAACGTCTACTCTTTATCAAATATAATTAGAACATGTCACGCAGTATGAGATGGGCAGGGTATGTAGCATGCTTGGGGAGAATCTGAATGCGTATAGGTTTTTGGTGCGAAAGCCAGAAGGAAAGAGGCCACTAGGAAGACCTAGACATAGGTTGGAGGATAATATTAAAATTAATCTTAGAGAAGTGGAATAGGGTGGCATAGACTGGATTCATTTGGCTCAGGATAGGACTCTTGTGAACACTGTAATGAACTTTCGGGTTCTGTAAAATGTTGTGAAATTCCTGAGAAGCTGAGCAAATTGCTGCTTCTGAAGAAGGACTCAGGTCCATGGAGTTAATAAGTAAGTTTTTTCTAACATGAATTTTTGTGTCTTATACGAGACTACACACCACATTCTGCATAAGGATGTACACATAACTGCTAAGTCCAACTCTTTCCTTCTCATGGCCACTTGCAACCTACCTGTATAACCCAAATAATTCCTCACCCTACACACTTCAGTCCTGAAGATAGGCAGCATATTCCTCCAAAGTGTCAGTATCTGCCTGTAAGACTACATGGTGTCACAGTATAGAAAGCCACATTCTGAAACATTCTCCACCATGAAAACATCAGACTTACATTCACTGATATTATTGCCAACAATCTGCAACCAAAACAGGCAATATGGTATAAACAGTAGTGGGGGGCCTATGAGACATACATTGGTAGATTCTGATATTTAAATACATAATCCATTGCAGTCTTGTGTTCACATCCTGTATGGTAAGCATGTCAAATAGAGTTAAGAATGGGACTGCAGAAGATTAATACTACCCACAGTTTTGTGTTAAAGTATGAAGTTCTTATATATGTAATGGATTCAATGTCTTTATCAACCTGGCTCATCCCCCATGTAGGAAACTGTTATAGATATTTTACTGTATTATATTTCAGGAAAGATTGTCTCAAGGAGCATAGTCTTATAGCAAATATTATCCAGCACTCTAATCTGGTTTAAATTACATGGACATACTGTGGTACCTGTTAGGTTCAAATTGTTCTGCCAAAACTAAATTGTAATTTCTTGTTTCTTACAACAGTCATAATTTTGTGTCAGTATGACTGCATCATATGGTACCAACATGTATGAAAAATAACTGTTGGATTTGTTTCAAAGTATGGATAACAGCTGTTCATGGTGGTGCCAACTGTGTCATGGACTTTGTTTAGTTCAGTAATAGCTGAGAACAAAGCATCGTACAGGTTAATAAAGAGCTGGGAATGAGCCATAATCTTTTCCTTTCTGCAGACAAACGTAATGCAACTTGCATTATATAATTCCTTACCAGATGTCTGGAAAGGAATATCTTCTTTTCGGTGACTCTTAAAGAGTACAGACACAAAAATGCAAAATATTTATACCAAATTATATTAGGTACTGGAGGGCTCAATACATGAATAATTCTGGACTTCAGCATTGCCCTGCAAAGTATATTATGGATGCAGATTATAACTTACAGGAGCAATATTGTAGAAAATAGCATTCACTGCAGTGCTAATATAATTTTTCATACTTACCATACCAATTCAACTCTGAAGGTACTCTGATGTGTGATTACAGAAGGTTACAGCATACCCTGCCTTAAAATTAAGGGTGAATTATTATAAATCGTCATATGTTAGCCATTATCTTCATCTCAGAATGAAGCACCCATATCTGTATGTAATGCTTAATATGCATACAACACAATTTCTTAGAACTGTCATGATGTCTGACCTTGATACTTCTACTAATACTTCATATTGTTCTTTCTGTGCATGTAATATTGGTCTCTTTACAAGTTTCAGCAGCAGAGTTAAGGGGTATAATGAGTAAGATCTATGTATTATGAATCAACATATTTAATTTCAAGTGTATTAATTTAGTTATACTTTTCAGATGTATATAACATAGATCTACTATGGGCACACCTTTGTCCATGTGTTTTTTCTTTCAACTCCTGAAGAATCTCTCGTGTTTCATTAGAAGTACTTTCTGAGAGAGCTGGGATAGTCAGGATAGTGACTTAAGTTACAGACTGGATAATTGGGCTTTGATTCCCAGTGGACTGGGATATTTTTTTTCCTTCCCATTGTCTCCACACCAGCTATGTCCACCCAGCCTCCTATCTAATCGGTACCAGGGTCTCTTTCCCTGAGGACAAACCACCCAGGGCAAGAACCTAACATCTCACCTTATCTGGTATTGAGTTAAGAATGCATAGAGCTATACCTCCACTCCACCATACATCTTCATGGTGTGCTTAGTAAGCACAAGGGGGCATCTTCATGGTGTGATGCTTAATTAAGCACAGACAAAACTTCACCTATGCTCTTACAGGAATATAGTAGCTAGTATGGTTTCCAGCCTCATTGTATAATTGGAAATTATACTCTTACTCCATCTTTTATTATCAAGTGTATTACTTTGGAAAGTTGGTGTTTTGGGGGAATATGCACACAGAGAAAATGGGACATCCCAAATTTTCCTTATTTTGAACACCTCTGTCTCAAGTATAATATCTGCTGGTATCTGGGGTTGCTGGACTAGGTAAACACAGTCTGCTGTCAAAGACAAATTCAGAGTTCCCTTTTGTGAATCAGTGACCATTTGTTCCTGTGTGTTCTTTGTGTTTGTGTCATACCATGATGTGCAGACAGTGGTCTGTGGTGTGTCATAGTATTTCTTACATTGGTTTATGTGTTTTCATATTATAAGACACTATTTTCAGCAATAATGTAACCTTATGACAAGTAAAATGATTTCATTGGAAGCAGTTTTTTTTTAATGTGGATGGTACCTCCATCAGATCTTGTGGGTATGACTTCCTGCATACCATCTGGTGTTTCACTTCAAACAGAGTTGTTTATGTGCTGTAAACTGTTGGATGTATCGCTCTATATTATACTTACCTTGAGGCATAACAGAAAGCTGCCTCAACATAAGGAGTGCTAGAGTCCCTATGTACATTTCTAGTTGTAGCCTTCGTTTGCATATGGAGTAAAACTGAGATGACGAATTTACTATCTGTCAGTCTTTTGCTCTATGGTAAGGGGCACATTCCTCAGAATTGCTATCAAGGTCTAGGTCGGTATATAAACAGTTGCTTATTATTAATGTTCAGCATGCTCAGTAAGGAGAGTAGGAGCTATCATTTCAGTTTACTCTAACTTCTGGTGTGTTTAATAACTGCATACTGAAGCAGATTTTATATCTTAGAAATTAAAAACACCCTGCATAATAATTTATATTGAAGTAACTTCCTGTTACTGTGCTAAAACTACAGTAGAGGCAATTGAATTGCCACATGGCATGGCAAAGCATGAGCTATTTAAACTCTTGCTCCTTGTAATAATGAATGCATGTTCTTTTCAAATATGGTGTTCATAACAGACAAACACACAGTTCCATACTATTCCCAAAGTTGTAAACATGATAAACCATTAAGGAATCCAACTCTAAGTAAAAATTTTATTCAGGCCATTCCTGTTACCGATCAGAAAAAGAATGCTAATAAAAACAAAAACAAACGTAAATATCAAACTTCATTCTTCTGTGCAATTTAAGATAGTAGGAACGTGCTGTAATAGATTCTCACTTTAGAAAATGTACTCAGATTTGACAACTGTCATCACTTTCATTTATTATAAAATCTGTTTTGGATTTCAGTTGATCTTGCCAGTACAGTTACCATCTTCATTACTTATTGCAGTTTAGTCCTAACTACCAAAAATCAAAGGAATCTTTTCATATGTTTGTGAACTAGTCCTTCAGCATACCTTCCCATTTTTATATTATAGAGGGTTATGTTACTACAACTTCTTTATTAAAACTGTCACAACACAACTATATCGAGGTCAGTGCCTAGTTTTGACTCTGCTACAAGTTTTGGTTATTAATAGCCATCATCAGGCAAATATATGGCTAACATATATACACCACTGAACTGCAGTATTAGTAAAATTGGATACAATAATATAAATTATATAAAATACTTGATGTAAAAATACAATAAATTAGATAAATTATAACACAACAGGATGCATGAAATGAAAAGGTTATGTTACTGTAGGTTCCTGTTATAATAAACAAGTTGCAATTTAATTTATATTAAATTTGCTCAGACACAAAATTGCCAACTAGTAAAAAACATTGTTCATTGTCTGGTATTCTAAAAACTAGGAAACAGTTCTCCAGTTCTTAGAATACTGGATGATGGACAAAGTCCAAAAATCCTCTATTCCTCTATATATTCCTATATCTAGGAAATTTATAGATTTATGGTTCTATAAATATAAATTATAAATTTCCTAGATATAGGAATATATAGAGAAATAGAAAATTTGCAATTTTCAGTCCACCAAAAACACACAGCAACGGGCATAAAAATACCAAGTGACTCATGTCACCCACAAGAACACAAGATATCTGGTATTAAATACCTTATAGACCAAGTAAATAATTACCCCATTACCAAAGTAGGAAAAGGTACAGAGATAGATACTATAAATAACATACTCATAAATAATAAGTACAACACAGAAATAATTACATAACTAATCACAAATAAGAGAAAACAAAACATTACAGAAAACAAAAAAAAAACATTACAGAGAATCCAGAAGGACAAAAAACAAAACGAAATGGGCAACATTCACATATACAAGGTGTGGCAATAAAGAACCCGGATTACTTTTATGACTCATTTCCGGCCACGTCATTGACGAAGAGGAGGGTAGGGCATTGACCCTTGGACTTCCCTCTACCGTCACACAAAGTTTCATTCACGTGCATCGGTTAGTCTGGCCGCGACCATTGTTAGAAGCGGATCGTGTTTCTGAGCTCCGTCGGAATAATGCTGAGTGCTAATGCAGAACAACGTGCTAACATCAAATTCCTCACAAAACTTGGAAAATCTGCCACTGAAACTTACAATTTGTTGACAGAAGTATATGGTGATCAGTGTCTATCTCGCACGCAAGTTTTCGAGTGGTTTAAGATAAGAAG